GATCCGGATCGGGTCCCTAGCACTATAACAAAATTGACATGCTTCTAAACTACTCCCCACCCCCTGAGAAGCTATAAGTTCAGGCTTCGAGTTTTGCCAGCAGATGAGCTTACTTGACTGAAACGAAGACCAGAGTGCGAGGACTTTTTCTTAACGTAACCTGCGCCAGACAGTGGTAGTACACTACTTAGACCACAATATCTAAGCTCATTCACAATCGGAGTGACCAATACTTGCCATTGGCACGGAACAATACGAACGTGAAACCGACTTAGCCCGGATTCAGTGCTAAGTTTCAACAGTATCATGACGCGCTAAATTTCGTGGTTCAGACCGAAAACTTAAACACCACAATGACTGGCTCCAATGTGATCTGTACCACAGTCCTCTTTAAAGAGAGACTCCATGCCCCCTCTTCGAAGACTGTCTCAGATGCTTCAGAGCGACCAGATCAAGTGCGTGTTATGCGCAGAACTGGGGTTTGCTGCTCCAAACACTGTCTTGCTAACGGGTTTATAGGAGCGAGAGAGGGGTGGGTGCGGCGGATGTTGCGCAAGTCAGCGTCTTGCGCCCTGGCACACGGCGAGCGGTGGCACGCGTTAGTAAGGAGTTAATCCCAAAGACGGCTATTGTAGTCATGCCTACGTTGATCTTGTCTTGAAATTGGAACACACAGAGTGTGTAGGAAAGATGGATACGGCTGAAGGCTACACTACACACAAAGCACCACTGGGAACCCCTCGCACACAGTTGTAGTTTACGATGGGTGAACCATTGTTATATACAAAAGCAGAGCACTGGACGCATTACACCGTGGGAGTAAATGGTCGCCAAGGCACGGAAGAGGGGTGTCAGACTGAGTGCGAATAAGGAGGATTGTACAGGGACTGAGAGAAGTCAAGACTGCAACAATTAACTCACATAAATCAGGTAGAAGGCGATCAGGGCGCATGAGTGATGTACAATGAAGATGGCCAGATTTTTGCCTTTATAGTAGATGGGCATCGACATCAAGTCTAAGAGAGAGAGAGAGTAAAAAAAGGTTACAAAAGTTTTTTTGTGACTAGGCAGGAGTAAAAAAAGTGCCAACCGATAAAAAAATCCACTGTAGTCTGCGTATCAGCATGTTCAGCGGAACAGGAAAAACTCGCGTTATTAACATATACACAGTTCGCTGTAATGGAGCAGTTCAAAAGTTGAAGTAAATCGGCACACAGACATGACGTCCCCTTGAGGAAGCTTCAAGCACTTTTTGAAGACGTAATGCAGCAGAAGCAACAGCAATGAGCAGACTTGGCTGTCTTTTCTTCCACAAAAGCTAGG